TTTACTCAGAAGCTATCAGATAGTGAGTATAGTCTAGGTTAGGGTTAGGTGTTGGGTCTAGGGTAGAGTCACTGCGGGTCATCGCGTGACAAAGTCCTACAGAAAATTTCATAACAAAATAGACCTTAAAACTTCAAACTGTTTAACAACAACAGCAAGTCAATACAAAGACAAAGACAAAAACATTGAACTTCAGTATATATAGAATGAGTGAAATTTTCATGGCTAGCACAAATCATAATAAAAAACCAGTAGAAGAAGAATGACATTGAGATCCAAACAAAAACTCTGCATAAATGCTTTGGCATTTTCTAGAGTTTATTCTATTCAGTGTTTGTAAGCCTAAAGCTTGTTGATATACAAATCAGAATAAGATACTTACCTTGATATCAAATGATCCAATTGAAGTGCTTGCTTCTAGATCATTGGGACTGTCAATAGAAACATCCTGGTTTGTCATGTTATAAATCAAATTTAGAGCATTTGATGAGGAAAAAAAAATACCTGCTGTGCAACCTGATGTGTCACTTCATGTTTTGTATCAGGGCTTCCAGCTGTATCATCCAGTACATGAAGTGGGATTGAGTTGATCATGTAACTTGTGCTATTGCCCTTGTTACTACCATAAGAGATGAAACTACGAGCATTGAGACTGTTGTAAAAATTATTAGGACCTGATTCTTCTTTACAGGAATCTCAGATAAAGCTTACGAAGTCAGCAGTGCATTTATATACACTAGAGATTATTCAGTGAATCCATATACCTCCTATAATATATAATAACTCACACTTTCCCAGCATAAAGTTGAAAAATAGCACATATAATGCAGCAGGTGCTGTGAGGTACTGACAACAAGTCATAAATCAGCAGGTATATAACATTTAATGATGACTTACTGCAATAAGGTTGGCAATAACAAATACACTATAGTATACAATCTCAGCAATTATCTGATATAAAATCACAATCATTACGTTGTTAGAATTCCAGTCGTCACAGTAAGAGCAATCAGCTTGTCAATCATAGTGTCTGAGCTATAGATTGAAATCATGAGCAAGCCTATCTGCCAGTAATAAGTTACTTGAATAGGCTCACCGGTGAAAACCAGTACGGTTCTTATGCAAGTAAAATGCAAGACTTGCTGAGATGAGAACATCAGTGACCACCGCCACTGCAAGGCCACTACTGCCAGTTGTCTGATAATTTGTAAAAACACGTATCACGTCCTGGAAAAACATGATTGCATACCTTTAGCTTAGCTTCTGCCTCCAGGAGATTTGGAATGTAGAGCCTGTGTTAAATTAGTAGGTGAAAAATAGTAGTATCAGAAATAATCACCCTCTAATTGGAAACACCAAATTCATAGCTAGTGCGGTGTTAATGCTGGCACGCACATAAATCGTATAGCTACATACTTAGATGGCCCACAGTGAAGGCTTCCTATAGTAAAACTTAGTATAGAAGCAATAATAAAGCAAGTGATACTCACACATAAACCAGCCAACATCCGGTTTTGACTTACTGGAAATAAAATATTTTTAATTCCATTGCGCAACACTTCAAGCATCAGCCTTACATTTCCACACACGATACACCAGGAAACTGTACAAAACAATTATAATCAACATGTTTATCTACAAGTATAACTACTCACCTTTCCACTAGAAATGCAATGACAGCCTGATAGATTGATAAACATTAGAATCAGGCAGAAAGTAATCACAGACATACATTGACAATAATCTCTGACTGAAGAATAGAATTTGGTTAAAATCCCAAATTGAGTTCATATATAGATAGAAACATACCCCGATACTCCTATAAGTGCACAGAGGTCAGTTTTAGCTTGGCGTAAAAATAGAATACTAACCAGACTGATTCTAGTAGAGCAATTGGATTAAGATAGTTGTCAATTAAATACCAGTAGAACACATGTATGATAAGAGCCTGGTGAAGGGTATCAAGAACCCTACAATCAAAGAATTAGTATCAAGAATCTCCTTTACTACAAGGTTCATGTTCATGCATACAGTAGTGTCAAAACCTATGATAGATACACAATCAGCGGCATTTCTCAAAAAAATTATATACATACCAACACCTTGATAATCCAATGATCTTTAGTCACAGACCGGAAATAGTGGAATGTCTGTACACATGTCACACCATACAAACTGAAAATATAGATCGAGTCAACCTCGAAGGCTCAGTCGGACGAAATACAACTTACATGCCGGATACGATAGTACCAAGATATCCAACACCAATGGTCGACCCCGCTGTGATACCGAATTCATGAAAAATATCGGACATGGCGGAAAACAAGTGGCGTCGGGTGGACTGGCAACCAGGTAATATGGCCTCGCAAAGAGGGAGATCTGGGCGAGTACTCAACAACGAGCTGCCCGTTATATGAGAAAACAAACTGTCTGACATTCTCTGTCGAGCAAAACATCAGTTCAACCTAGTCCGAAGCATTGGAGAAAGCCGTGGCACATGCCGCATGACTCCATCAGATTGAAGCAACGGACGAACTAATCACGTCAACAACATGATTTAGTCTTGTATCACGTTGACACAGAGACGCACACATACTGGCTGGTCATAATATTGATCCATTCGGAGTACTTCAATCTCTGGTATGGGGTAGTCCACGGGCAACTATAGGACAAGATCAATCCCAAGAGGGAGGTGCCACGGACGAAAAACAGCTGGGTCCGTTGATCAGTGGCTAATGAAGAGAAAAAACGGGATGGCGTCGAAAAGCTTACGACTTCCGCGCCAGCATCCTAGAAGTCTGACAACAGTTCCTCTGATACGATAAAAGATATCCTGCATTCCGTTCGGGAGTTTTCGGGTACAACTCGCAGTGTAATGTTAACGATGCATAATCCGATTCAATGTATATATCTGCTTCGAAATTACTATATCTAGTCATTTACGAGAACGAAGCTCCGGCCATCTGCCATATTGTCGCCCGGTAGTGCTAGGATAGTATACGAATCTGATCAGCAGCGACCGCGTGCTTATCTGATGGGCCACGTAGCCAGAAATAGAATGAAGTTGGAGAGTGGCTGTGGATAGTTGATGCATTACTGGCAGGGGGGGTAATGTGTATCACACCTTATGTCCATCCAGGTTCCCCAATGTGCTTCTGTTAAGACAGTGATCAACAGCTCTAGTATCAGGATCGCTGTATTCAAAGCCCACGTGAGAGAACAGATGACAAACAAACATACCAGGCCTATCGGAAGCCGAGGTTGGACAGTAAGGTCAGACTGGATCCTGCGTTCTCGCTCGTCTGCTCTACGGCAGAAATAACACAAAACTACGCGTTTGCATAGGAATACGACTATCTTGATCGGGGTTATGCGGTTCTTTCATCTGGGCCCAGCGAAATTGAAGTAAACCTGATATTGTAACCTGTCGACATCCTCTTGTCCTACAAGAAAGAAATGCAAATTTCCTTTGTTAGGAAAGCTCCATTTTTCAAGAACGAAAAGGTTCGTCCTATTCAGCTGGCGCTTTTCCGATGTCTTTCCAATGCCTGTCCGATGCTTTCTGGTGCGCGGGAACGTTGATTGATTTGTTGTGCTCGGCGTCTGTGTCCTTATACAGATATCAGCTACATTCGAAGATTGAAGCAGTCCACGCATCTTCAGGCTCTGCAGCCAAGATGGCGAAGTTCAGGGCAAATTCATAGTCACCCTCTTTGTAGCATCTGAATAGCGAAGACGTGCCAACACACTAATCAAGGACTGGACATGGGACGTCTCAGTGAGATTGTGTGAGGTACTGTAAAAGCTGCATCTGTCAGAAACGTTATGGATTAATGAATGAATAACAGCGAAGTGACATGGGCGAGATGTGGCTGGAACGTCATGCTCATGTGTTCAGGAGCACGGCTTAATGTTAAAGCTGAGGCAACGTTCTAGTCATAAACATTCCCTTTGAATTGGAATCGAAGCAATACAGCTTGCGACATGCGAGGGTCTCTCTAACGTAAGCTGGTAATTACCGAGGAACATTAGGGTTGCGTCAGTACCAGGGTCGTACCTGTACTGAGCACATCTGAGTACGAGTTGACAATGAGCTTGTCCATTCATCGTGACAGAAACTGATCATGACATAGCCCCTACCCGCTATATCGTCACCGCCGATTCACTGGCACTGCGCGGTGGCACCTTTTTATCAATGAGGGTTCATCCTGAGGCAAGATGGTCAGGAACAAGTAGCTTCTGAGGTTAGAAGCGTTGGAAAACTGCAGGAGCCCTCCTCATCGGGGATGAATTTTCCTACGCCCTATCTATCGGTTTGATACACTATAATTCAAGGCAGTAGTCCCCATGTCTGCTGTATGGAAATATAGTACACATCACTACGAGCTAGGAAAGAGCAGGCCGTACCAAGTTACATGAGACACAC